GTGGTAAAGTTCCATTCGCACCAAGAGGCATGGGCATCTCTGGCAGCAAGCAGGCGCGCTCGACGACGTCGCCGTCCCTGCCCACAACATCCCCTCTGCCCGACGCGGCATTGACCCACAACCTCCATCCAAACAACCAGGCCCACCATCTTAGCTTGAGCAACGGCATGTCTGCTGCCGCACAACGCAACGCGCAGCACCATCACCAGCAGCAACAGCAGCGCGCCATGACGACGGACCATGACCCGGACTGTGACACGGGCGAGATGATTCAACTGTTCATGTACAACCGGTGCCCGCGGGCAATCGTACACCATTACATTCCAGCAAATCTCCCGATGATGCCGATTTTCACAGAAGCGTACTTGAGCGACTGCAACAACACGTGGAAGTACATCTTAAGCTCGTCCACGGACCGCATGAAGGAGTTCAAGAAGTCGGGCATTGTGCTGTTTTACGACGAGTTCTTCTTTCGGTTGTTCCAGCGCGACTCGACGTTCAAGGAGGTGTTTCCAGACATCCGTCGCCGGGGTGAAATCCTCATCAAGGCGTTCACACTCATGCTCAAGAGTTCGTCCGACGACAACGCGCGCCTCGTCAACAAAATTCGGTACCTTGGCCACCGCCATCGCTTCTTTCCCAAGATCCGAGCGTTCCAGTTTGCCACGTACACTAGCACGATGATCGAAGTGCTCATGTACTGGCTTGGCGAACTGGCGACGCCGGACGTCGCCGAAGCGTGGAGCAACGTCGTCTGTTTCTTCATGAAGCACATGCTCGAATCCTTCCTCACAGATCGCGTGGACCCGTTCGAGAGCTATCAGAACACCGTCGTCGAGCACGCTCGTGCGCTGAGTGAGTTGGACGAGGAGGACAAGAAGGGCGGGCCACATGGCAACGGGAGCAATGGGTCTCGCGGCAGCCGCGCTTCGAGGGCATCTGTCCAGAGATAAATTAACTGTATACTACGACATGCCACGATTGAAGCGCTTGCTGTGGCGCCACAAGCGCCGCGACCGGCTGCCGTGGCCTCGCCATGTTCGCCGAGGAATCGTCGAACTCATCCGTGGTGGTATGTTTATTTTATTAGATGTACTTCTCTATGACATTTTATAAAAATGTCGAACGTGTTGAACGTTTAAAATTTTGTCGCTCAAGTTCTATTTATACAACGCGGCCGCCCCACAGTTTCCAAGGCGGCTGGTGGCAACAACTGCGGCGAGTGCGACACCGAGACGATTCCATGCACGGCGACGATGCTCCAACGGTGGTGCACCTACTCCATCGACACCCTATGGACCTGCCCGAGAAACAGTCCATGATCGAGGACCTAACACACCAGGTGCGCCAGCGAGAGGCCGACTTGCGCGCGCTCCAACAAGAGCACGACGATTACGTCGCTTCCAGCTGTGACATTGAGCGCGAGTTAGAGGCAGAAGTGCTTCGTCTTGAATCCATGAACACAAAGCTTGTCGAGCAAATACGTCGAGGGACTCTGGACGTCGAAGCAGCTCGAGCAGTCGCCGACAGTGCCAGCAAAGACTTGTCCAAGCTTCACATCGTTGTGGCCGAGCTCATGAAGGCAAATGCAGAGCTCAAGAGCGACGTTCAACGACTCGAGCAACGCAACGACGACTTAGAACGACGGGAGCGTGAATTGCAGGCGTCCATCGAAGACCTGGAGCACCACCTGGACGTAAGCGTCGAACAGGCCGTGTTTCTCCGACAAGAGAACGACGAACTGATCGTGCGGCTCCGAGAGGATCCCAGTCGAGGTCTGGTTGTCGTCACCGGAAGCGGGGCGTCTGTAAATCCTTTGTCGACCGACGTTCAACTCAAGTACGGCACCGACGCCATCAAATCGTCAGCAGCGTCGCCACCGATGTCGCCACCATCCAGGCAGCGCAGCTCGCTCTACGTGACGACGCCTACCGCCTCCACTTGCGGCCCTCACTGTTCCGTCATGTAATCCGTGTAGAGTAAGAAGCCTGTCTAATTTATCCGCGATCTTCAAAGTCCGATTCCAGCACACGACGGCTCAAGCGACGAAGCGCCAAGGGTGTTTGGCTGCCAAGGGGCCGTTGGTGATGGCGCGATGAGCTTCATCTCGTTCATGGGGCTTGGTGTTTTGTTGATGCATACATCCTGTGCGCACAAACACGGGGTCAAGTTTGGGAAAGCGTCCGCGGAAGGTACCGCCATCGACACGCTTGAACATGCAGCTGCCACCGCGCGAGCCCGCGGCAAAGGCGTCGTTTGCGCCATCGTTGGAGAGTGAAAAGCAGTTGCTACGATGGATCGGAGCGTTCGAAATATGTGTATCACGTCCGCAGCACCTTGACTGCGCGACGGTGGTGAAGCACCCATGCTTGCGCGGCCACTTGTTCCTCCATGCGCTCGTGCCATGCGATTCGAGACCATTTGTGCAGCGCCTACGCCCGTATTCGATCAGTTTCCGTGTGGAGGAATGGTTGGTACATTGCGTTGACGTTGGTTGGCGACGACGGCATCCAGCGTTCGGCTGGCCACCACACGCTGGCGAAATGCGTCCATGCCACGCCGCAGCCTCGTTTGATCGTACAGCAGAATGCCCACACGCAGCACTCGATCGCGTCTGCGAAAACAATCACGACAGCCGACGTCAGCCTGGCTTACCGCTGCACCCGGTCGATTTCTCGTGTTCGTTGACGGACGTAAAGCCGCACCTGTCTTTGCCACGATCGGAAGCTCCGAGCTAAGATCGTTTGTCTCGCTGCGCGCTCGTACTCTTGCCAGAGAAGACGGACTGCGTCCCCATGCTGGTGGATCATCCTGCGGCGGCAATGTAACGGTTTGTAACCGTATCGCACATCGTGAAACGGCTGCTGCAGTCGCCGACGTGACATGGTCAAGAAGCACGGCAGTGCTTACGGCCAGTCCCAAGCGACGACAGGGTCGACTGCGTTGCAAGCACGGCTCCGGCAAGCGGAGGTCGCCTTCCCCATGTACCAACAGGTCCTCACTATGCTTGTGTTGGTGGAACAGGATGCGCTGGCCACAGCGCTAAAGACTATCGCGGTCCAGCAAGATCGCGAAAAAGAGTTGAGAAAGCTGTTGGAAGTCCACAGTTTGAAGGAGCCATCCGATGGGGACGGCCGTGCTGTGAATTCGCTCGTGGAAGGTACGAGCTGAGGTAATGACCCACGGTCGCCCAGCGATCGCGTATAGCCAAGGCGCAAGCCCTCAACAACATCCACACCCAAAAAGTCCGCACCCTCATGAAGTCGATCCATCAATTGCAAGAACAGGTCGCCACGATGAAGGCCCAAGACAAGGAGCACCGACGGTCGGCACTCATTCAGAACCTGCGCAAGCAACAGCGCGACCAAGAGCTCGTCATGGAAGTGCTCAAGGACACACTCAAGACCAAAGTTGGCGAGTTCAATAATAGCTTGGATGCCGTAAAACGACCGTGGCGCCGCCTCGTCGCTTTGGATGATGGATTGGCACTAGGTGAACGACTACATTTTAAAGAAGACGCTTGGCGGCCCCAAGCGCTTCCGCCCCAAAACTCGCGAAGAGATCGAGCTCGAGTTTGTCGAGCTCGACAAGAAATACAAACGAGTGCTGGCCAGCTTGAAGCGGGCCAAGTCGGTCGCTGCGCAAGACGCCCCTGCAGAAGATGCAACGCCACCAGCCGACACGTCGAGTACAAGCGCGAAGGGGCATTCGACGTCGACTGACCACCGCTTAGGCGTCGACGTCGAGGCGATGCAGCGAGAAATCGAGTCGTTGCGCGTGCTAGTAGCAGCGAAAGACAACAACTTGCAAGCGCAGACGGCGGACAACCTCGCGCTGAAGAAACGCGTCGACGAGCTGCTATTGTATGACGTAAGCGACGTCATGGCGAGACTTACGTTAGGTAGGGTCCACGATAAGTGGGTGCGCACCAAGGCCAAGTACGCAGCGAGCAAGGAAGCCATCGCGAAGCTGGAAAGCGACGCGATTCGACTGATCCAGGCCAAGGAACAGGTACACGAAACTGGTCGTCGGCCAAACTGATACCGCGACAAAGGAAACGGCACTCCGGGAACAGGTCGAAGCTGAACTCGCCTGCCTCCAAGATATGCAAGCGCAAGACGCCGCGAACGGCAGCAGCGTCCATGCGACGTTGCAGCACCAGATTCAAGCGCTCAAGGCTCAGGAAGCCGCCTTGCTGGAGCAGATGGAAGCGCAGACACAAAAGTGGACGGACGACCGGCTTGCGATTCTGGCTCAGGTAGGCATGCCTCGTCCGACGTAGCCACCAAACGGTCCGCCACAGATACGGACACAGGAGGCCCATGTGGCATCGATTGAAGCGCAAAGCAAGGCGTCTGCGAGCCAAGTGCAGGACTTGACGGCCGAACGAGGTTTGCCGCTGTGATGCTATCGTCCAAGGAATTGTCATGAATATGTAGATGAGCTGAAGGCCAAGCTTGACGCGGCAGTAGCTGCTGCCGCAGCGCTCCAACAGGTAGAACTCCATGAGATGATGGAGAGTGTGATTGGAGCACTCGTAGACACTGGCTGCGCAACATGACGAAGCCGAAATGAGGTCGACATGGCTCCAACAACGTGCGGTTTGTTGATGGTGGTGTTTGTGGCGTAGCAATGATGCAGCTGCTCTCAAAGCGGCGACTTCCAAAGAGACAGAGTTGCTTGCATTGGTGGGTGCCAAAGACCAGCAACTGAAAGCGTTTGAGAAGCAAATCTTGGCGTCGAAACTCCTCGCGCGGCTGCACAAAAAGGAAAAGGAGCAACTACTGCTCCAAATGGACAAATTGCGTACGCTGGTGTCGAATTCAGCGCCACCCACAGACACGTCACGGGTCATTGCACAAGCACAGCTCAAGCTCTCCACGGAAGAACCGTTGTCGTCGGAGAGTGTGACGCCTGCAGTGCCACCTCACAATGAAGATCCAACGCCTCCAAGTGAAATACCCATGGGGAAGCCCACAACTTCTCTAGGACAATATCCACCCACAGAATCCCCTGCATCGACTCAGTCTGAAACAGGATGGGAGCAAGCGGACCACGGAGAAACACGTCAGAGCAGCCCAGACGAGTTCGTCGATCGCGTCGTGTCCTCTGCACTGCTCAAGAGAACCAAGGATGTGCTACATGCACGGAATGAGGGCAAGTCCGAGGAAGGCGCACGACCCCTCGAGACGCATTCGTTTGCCGCAGCGACAGACGCTGATGCACTAACGACAGCGGTGGAGTGATGGAACCTAATTTCACATATGTCAAATGGCTCTAAACCTCTGTAATTGAATGACGAAAACCTCTGAAAGCGTATCTGACTGCTTTCTCATGGAGAAAAGATCGGACGAATATGGCACGCATCGACGACATTGCGATGGACGTGCCGCTCTTGCTGGAAGAAGTCGATGTCGATAGCGTCGAGCTAGACGAGCATGTGCAGCCTCCAGCGAACCAAGGGTTCGTGGAGAGGTATATCACGAGTAAAGTGCAGCCCGGGTCAGGTTCGTCGTGTTCTTGCCCCCGTACACACCATGTCATGCTCATGACGTTTTCCATGTGGACCATGTAGTCAAAGGATCCATGTTCACGATGACAGTGTCGATTGTCGGCGCGGGCGTGCTCGCTCTCCCGTACGCCCTCGAGCAAGTGCGTGCTAGGTCGATCTCGACACTTGGGACGTGACGTTGTGATGGCGACGTAGGTTGGGCTGGTCATGGGTGTGGTGTTTCTCGTCGTCGGGGGTCTCCTCGCGTACTTCTCATTGTACTTATTGGTCGTGTGCAGCGATCTGACCAAAGCGATGTCGTATATGCACCTTGCATCCTTCACGTCTGGCCCACGGTATGGCATCGCCACCACGACCTCTGGAACCCATCCTCGTCTAGGCTCTCCATGTTCGTGCAGTCGGTGATCAGTCTCAACCTGTTTGGCACGTCCGTGGGGTACCTCGTGGCCAGTTCCGAGCTCATTTTGCTCGTCGTCAAGGTATTGATGGAGGCTCTCGCGTCCTTCTCGTTCCATCGTTGTGCATTAGCCCAACGGCGACCACCCGACGCCGTCCGAAACCACGCAGTCCCGCAACGCCCTCATTGGAACCCTCTGTCTTTGCTTTGTGCTGCCGCTGTCGTTGCTTCGGTCGCTGTCGTCGCTTCGTTTTTCGTCGCTGTTTTCGCTGCTCTGCATCGTGTTTCTCACCGTGACGGTGGTCGTCAAGTATTTTCAGTTTGTCCAGCTCGGGTACGCCAAGGACGTTGTCTATCAGTGGAACCACCTTCCGCTGTTCACGTTGGACGTGCGCCGCATCCTTGTCGCGCTGCCCCTCGTCATCTTTGCCTACACGTGCCATCCCAACGTCCTTCCGATCTACCTCCAGCTCCAGCGGCGATCGAGCCCTCGCATGTACAAGGTTGCGCGGCGAAGCTTCAGCGTCGCCACGACGCTCTACGTGCTTCTGAGCGCGTTCGTGTTTCTCACGTTTGGGATGGCCACCCGCACCAATTTTCTCGAAAATGACTACCACACGGACGCGGCCGTCGTCGCGGGTTCCATCTTCTTTGCCGTCGCGCTCGTGATCACGACCCCGCTTTATATTCACACGCTGCGCCATGGTCTGAACGAGGTATGGGTCTCTCTGCAAGACGACGGAGCTTTTGTTTTACCGTTGTTTGATGTATGCGTAGAGCGTGTGGGGTCCCGACCAAGATGGCAGTGCGATCCGGCATGCCTTTGTCACGGTCGCCCTCGTTGGAAGCGTCTGCGGCGTCGCGATTTTGGCCAAGGACGTTGCGTCGGTGCTGGGCATCCTCGGATCGACAACGAACCCGATCATCTGCTTTGTCCTGCCAGCGTTCTTCGTCTGCAAAGTCGCGCCCGATGCGTACTGGATGGAAAAAGGCGCCGCCGTTCTCGTTTGCGTTGCAACGACTACGCTGTGTGTCGCGAGTTTCGTCGAGCAAGTTCGAGTGTACTGACAATATATACATTGCCGTGGACTAGACCTCGGCGTCTATCCAGCTTTCGACATGGAGAGATCGCTTGGTTGTCGCCGATAGGCGTCATGGTCGGGTTGGTTCAGAAAGACAGAGGTGTGACCCAAGGTCGCGGGAATCCAGTGTATGCTGCCACACGCAGTGCAGCATGGTCGCTGCGACTCCAATCAAAGCCCATGGCATCGACGTGCACACCCTTCACCAGGCGAACCGCATGTGAGTTGCACGGATCGAGATAACCATCGCAAAAATGCACACTCGACAGCCCCTTGGCTCGACGCAATTGAACCTGTCCCAACAACGGCATTACGTTCTTGCAGGGACCGGTTGGGTATGCGCGATTCCAAACTCCTTACACCACGCACTTGAATTCCATTCAAGTTTGAATCGACATGAAGCCTCGATTATCACGAGTCCGCGCCGCGCTCGCCATTTAGCACTTGTTGTGCAAGAAGCCGTCGACGGCGCGTTCGACGCGTTGGTGGGCCAGCACAACGGACGCGCTGTCCGTGGGACTCGCCGCGCTCATGTCGCGGCAATGGGACGTCCCGTCGATAAAGACGACTTCGGACTTGGGGTTGACAACGCCCGTCGCGTTGGTGACACTCAGCGCGGACCACGGGTCGATGTTGCCGTTTGGAAACACGACGTGGTCGACGTCGATGTCGAGACCGCCGTACTTTTGGTTGACGGCGGCGATCGCGGCATCCGTTTGAGCTTTCGGGATGCCGTACACTTGGTAGCACATTTCGTACAGAACCTTGTCCACGTTGTTGTACGAGAGCGCGGAAAAGATCGACGTGGCGGATGCCGTCGTTTGGCCGAATCCAAACTCGGCGCACGTTTGGTACATCCACTGCCTCGCGACCGACGTCGTGCTCAACGTGGTGTTGGTCAGTGGCTTGATCCATGCGTTCTGGTAGTCGGAATCGGTGCACGTCGGCATGAAGCGCGCGTTGTGTTCGGCGAGCTTCTCCAGCGGCGTCTTTCTCGGCTGCGCAAACAGCGCGCACGTCGCATTCAAGTTGAACGACGTGTAGTCGTTGGTTTGCGCCGTGATTTGAAAGTTGCCAAACACGGCCGATTCGACCGTCATCCGATCGAAATCATCTTTCAGAGGCGAGCACGGCTTGAAGAGCGCTTGCAGCTGCGCCACGTCCTCGGGCTTGGAGCTCGCTAGCAACGCGTGGAGGCCCTCCAACCCGGCTTTGACTGTGTTGACGCACGCGTCCCCGCCAAAGTACCTGAGGCCAAACTCCACGACGTCCCCATACTCATGGTAGTCGCCCTTGGCCAAGATCGGCCCCGAACTGGCCACCGACCCGGCAAAACGACTCCCGTGCTTTAGCTTAGCCCATGCCGCCAGCATCCCGGGGTAGCTCCCGCCGAACGCGACCCACTTGCTGTCCTTGGTCAAGTTGCGCTTGGCAGTCAAGTGGTCTTGGAAGCTGACCAGGTCGCTCAACGCCTGTTCTGAGCTCAGGAACTTGAGGCTCGCCGTCGACAAGTCCCGCATCGGCTGCGACTTGCCGTAGTATCGGTGCTCCAAGCTCACGATGAGCGCCTTGTGCTTTTTGGCGAGAACGTTCATGAAGAGGCCCATGGACACGACGGTCGTGTTGCGCGCGACATTTTCGCCGTTGATGTAGACAAACACGGGGGACCCAGGGCCACCGTAAAAGACGTCGTTCGTGAAGAAGCGCTGGCTCCACACGTTGGTGTTGGCGGCGTCGGTGTGGTCGACCTTTTGGGTTGTAAACCATTCTTCAGACGCAACGGCTTGCGTGGCTTCAGCGCCGTGTTCGGACTCGATCAAGTCCACCACGTCAATGTTGGTGCGGAGCAGCGGGTGGAGCGCGACGGCGGCAGCTGCCAGACCAAGAAGGAAAGCAAGGCGCACCATGATATGCACACGCAATGGATTTTCAAGAATGATGGGGCAGACTGGCTGACGACGTTGTGTTACGTGCAACCATCTGTGCGAGAGGCATGCTGGTACGTATTGTTGAGCGCCCCACGTCGACGAGGATGTTAATGTGGTGTCGTCGAGCGTGTGGATGGCCGAAGTCAGTGCACCACTAGCTCTCGGAGACCGACGGCCCGACAAGTTTCTGGCCGTCGACTTCACGCAGGAAGGCGCTTCCCCGAGCGCCAGGTGCGACCGATGGATCTGATTTGGTCGACGGACCGTCTACCCAACGCTGCCATGCAGGGCGTCATGCAATCCAAAGCACCATGGAAAAGCCGTCGGCATGACATGCATGTAGCTCTGAGGCCTAGTTGGCGCCGAGGGAAACGGACTGGTGGCGGCAAACTCGTCGGGGGAGCAGTGCCTGTCTATGAGATCGATAGGCGCGTGGGTGGCGACCAGCAGGAGAACTTCTGCTTGGATTTTCCTGATCAAGACGGCATTGCATACGGCTTCAACAACTTGAATCGCGCAGCAGCAACGAAATGCTGCCGCCCATGGTCGACGATGCCCACGCGGCGTCCCAGCCTTGAACTGTAGCCCGTCAAGTCGAACCAAGAGTGAGCTCGACGTCTCGATCCGGGCACCTTGGTCAAACGTGGCCTCAGTGGCGAAGTAGATTTTCTCACCCTATCTTCGGCAACGATCGGCCTACCGTGTGGCACTTTGGATGGGTTTTGTGGAATGCTTCGAAGGGCCGACGGCAGGGCGAACGTGGTCCTCAAAAATCAAACCACCCAGCGCCCTCCGCGCAAGCGTGCTCCTTAACCATGGCTTCGTTACGGCGCTGGGCACGGCGGCATGTGGTCGACCAGTGCGGCAACATGGTGTACGCGTGCTACCAGCGCATAAACCACGTCGGGAAGAGGCTATGCACGGTGCTGAACTGTGGTGTCATGGTCATGGATACCAAAGTGTTTGTAGCGACGTGTACCTGGCGAAGTGGCCAAGCCCTTTCGCAATGCAGCCCTGTAGAGGCGGCAAAGCGAGCACGTCGATTCGTCTATTCGTGAGATGAACATTTCACACCAAATCGCATGCGCACTCGATGTTGGAGCATGAACACTTGTCGCGCAGGAAGCGTTCTCCATTCGTTTGTGGGCCTACAAGGATGTGTCGTCCGTGGGCCGGGCGACGCTCATGTCGTGGCAAAAGGACGTCCCGTCGATGCGTGCCTTCTACGATAGGGTTGGCGTTGGCTAAACTCAGACCACAGGTCGATGTTGCCGCTGGGGAACACAACGTTCTCGGCGACGGGTTGGACGGCGCCGTGATTTGTTGATCGGCGGTCGCGATTGGGATCTTTGGAGGCTCCAAAGTTTGCTAGTACACGTTGAACAACACCTCGTCTACGTTCGTAACGACTGCAGCGTGCGACATGGCCGTCGACGTCGCCTGGCCAAATCCGACATGTACATGCCAAGCCTTCCATGACGTTTGTCTTGGAACAAAGGTTCTCGCAAGGTCAAGTCTACGGTCGATGCGCCAAGTGGTCCGGACCCACACGGATGGCACCTGAACGCTGCAGGACTTGGGGGCGATGTGTGGTTTCTGAATCGAGAACATGGGATGTTCGAGCAAGTTACGGATGGCTTCGAGAAACCGAGGTAGTTTGCTTGGTTGTCGTCGTTGGTTCGCGACGTGAGGGGGCATCGTAAGGGGTTCAGAGACCGTCGCCACGAGATACAAAAGGGCTGGAGGACCCGTTTGAATCGCTGATGTTTTTGGAATAGATCACTTGACAGGAATGTTGCTGTCGTTGTTACACCAACCACGAGGGAAGGCGACACTGGAGTGCACTTGGGGGAATGACTTGTGATATGGAGGAACGCATGGAGCGCTCGCCCGGAGGCGAACTGGGCCTCCAACGGTTCCGTAGTGGGAGCTTGCTTCATGACCACCCGATTTCTCGTACACACGACAGGGCCAGATGGAACGAGTGATTCGTAGATGCACAGTCGTCAAGATCGTCAGGCGTTTTGTAAAATTCAATACCTATGACGGATATCCCAGTGGAATGCCCACTCGACCATTGTTCACGCACCCCCGCGCATACAAGTTTACACACGAACGGGCTGGTCAGAGCATCGGCACGTCCCATTGCGATGACAGAAGCTCGCCTCGCGTCAAGGACAGCGCATCCTTTGTGTGGGCCTTACGATCAAAACCGCCGTCGACCACTTCGTGACCTATGCTACATCGTCATTCCAGAATATCGTGATATTGCCATACTTGCATGCACTCCACACTCGATTCGTATCGCTTGTGGTCAGGCAGCATCGCGTATTGTCCCGTTTGGTTCGTCTCGGCGGCGTGAATCGGTCGCGGGGTCCATGCGGGGGATGGGATCGAAAATGCCTTGACCGTCGTGTCGAGGTTGTGGAAAGGATGCCGTTCGATGCACCGAGGGACCCCGCAGTCGAACACCATGCGAAGTCGTTGGAATGAGCCCATACCAGCACATCCCACGCCCGATTTCGACGTAGGTAGTACACCGCCACGTTTGGTGATCAAGAATGCTGACAGACCTCTTTGTCCGGGACATGAGCTCGGGGAGCTCGGTGCTCGACAAAGTCGGGCCATCGCTTCGAACCAAACAGTTCAAACACAGACTCGCGCGCGGCGCCTCCGACATCTTCGAAGACCATGGCTCTTGCAACAGCTCGGCCCAGAAAGGTTACAGTCAAGATATTCGAACACGCTCTGCCCCTTCACGCAGTACAAGCCCGACACCAGGGTCAGCCACGCCTTCTTGGCGGGGCTCACGTCCGATTTGGGGTGATTCGCGGACTGATATCGACGTAGCAACAAGCACAGGAGAGTCATTCTGTTTCTCACGGTCATCGTCGTGCCCGGCCCAAAACTGTCGTGACCAAACCACCTTGTCGTTCCCAAAACTGTAGCAATCGCTGGTTCCAGTCACGCTCGGCCACAGGCAAGATGGACTGGATTGACTCGACCCGGCGTTGCCACGGCTTGGTTTCACGCAATTTCAAGCTCGCTTCCTTCACATTCGCCGACATCTCTACGAATTGCCGCCGTAGACGTCGTTGTCACTCGACCTTCAGCCTTCGGATCCCGCTGTGGTGCACGATCGACATCACCCTTGTACATTGGCCATCAGACAATGTCGGTCGATCGCGCATTGGAACGCCTGGGAGTCGCCCACATTTGCTCTTGTGCGAAGCTGACGACGTGGTCTACTGCCGACTGAATCGTCGACACAGCGAGTCGTGGTTGAGACCTCCTGGACATGTTGTCGTGGGGGAAGCGGTTAGAGTGCGACACTGGGTTGGAGCACGAGTTCATGACTTGTTCCGAGTCATTGTTAGCGGACGGAGGTTTCCTCGATTTCGTCCGCTGGGCTCGAAGGAAGCGACCGCGTCATAGATGCCGACGAATGGAATGGACGTATCGTCGCTGCGATGCTCGTCCGTGAATGCCGCGTTCGGCTCCCCCGACAACGACAGGAAAAGGGGTGAAGGGGCGTGAGCGAGTTGCGCATCCTTGTTGGCTAGCTTCGGCAACTCTAGCCCGCCTACCGATCGATCCAATCTGCCTCTGCGCCATTCATTTATGACGTCATGGTCAAGTCGGCGGCTCGATGGAGGTCGACCAGGGGCTTCATGCCGATTATGGCCATCAAGGGAGTATTACTCAACGATGGATGCCGAGACCACCCTGGCCTAGCGCTCAGCCCTCTGGACTTTGTTACTCATTTGTGCGATCGCCTCTTCCCCCGTGACCGTCACATCGGCTGGTCTACCAAGGCCACATTGCGCGAGTGGCCTCGAATACGAAGCTCAGACTCGGTCGATCGAGGTGGCAATCGTTTGGTACCCCATATCCAAGTGAGCACACTCGTTGGCAGCTGTCGACTGCTTGGAATGTGGTTGAACAGGCTTGTGGCATTGCCGATGACGACGCGATCCTTCCTCTCCATGCTGTGTGCATACGACGTTGCCGTCGAATGGCTGACCCTGTGCATTTCCAAGCGAGCGCGACCCTTGTCTCCGTCTCGACCGCCGTCATGTTGAGGCTGCCGTCAGCACACTTGGACGATGTCGCCACGTTTAAGTCCGTAACGCGTCAAGAATCGACCTTCTCTCATCTCGACCTCCGTGTGATACCTCCACTGTCGGTCGTGTCGACTCTGTCTACGTTTTTAGCACGCCATTAGCACGCGGCTACAATGTTGAGGCACACAGTCCGGTGGTCCTGGCATGAGTTGAATCGTGAATGGTCCAGTCGGCGTTCAAGACGTGGACGCCAGTCGTGGAAAAGTCGGGCATCGGGTGCGTCGACTCGGACCTCGACGACCACGATCACCGCCTAGTCCTTCATGACTTCACGGTCGTGTTGCGGGCCACCGATTCCCCGTTGATGGGGACAAAGACGGGGGACCATGGATGCCCGCGGTACACCTCCGAATGGAGCAGTAGCGTTCGCTCCACCTGTTTGTGTTGGTTGCGGCAGTGTCGTCGACTGTTTGGTGAACCATGGCTGTGCAGAATTTTTGAGCCGACGGCCGCGCAACCATCCCCAGTCCAATCTCGCGCCGTGGATCCGCTGCGCCCCATCACAATTTGCAAACCTGTGCATGAAATCCCGCCAACGACAACTGTGTATTCGACCCATGTTGTGGTGACTAGTTTCTGTCACGGCCGAAGGAGGTTCCGTCCATGGAGATGGGAGTGTACAAACACGGCAGTCGATGAGGGAGTGTCATGACGGGGAAGGTCTCGTTGGGGAGGCATGCATCCGACCATGATGGTGTACCAAAGGGGCAGTCCACAGTCGACAGCATATTCCTCGATGGTACTCTCTACACCATTGCGTCGGCGCGTTTGGCTTGTTTGGCCAGCCATCGCTCGACGTGCTCCTTTTCGATAATGAGGCACCCTGGGTTCTGAGCAGGGGAATGCGAGCGCAGGGAAAAGTGTCTGGATAGGAGCGCTTGGATTTCCGGCTTCAGGACAGGTTTCATGTACTCTTTGCTGCCACGCCCTTTGCCCGTGATGATTTTGAGCTCTTGCAGGTCTATTCAAGCACCCGGCCATGACGTTCCGTTCCAGAGTTGGCGACCGTACCGACGTGGGAACTCTTGGGCTGCGTCGCGATAGCTGCCAGCGCAAACTGCACTGCTGTCTTGGCAGACCCCTTCGAAAACGTGTGCAGGTTGAGGGTGAAGAGGCCTTTACGCCACTCGCCGAGCATGTGCTGATCCATGGCTCTTTGAAAGACTGCTTCGCCCGTCGAGGTCTCGCCCATCTCATCGAGTGCGTCGATCAAGGTATGGACAAAGTCTGGCTTTCCCAATGGCACGTCGTGGCACTTGGCCAAGATAGGCGCCAACAGGAAGCGCTTTCGCGGGAGACGGTGGATCGCGCGCAAGACGCATGCCAACGTCAGAATCGACGGTGCGATGCCGCGGCGCGTCATGTCTTGATACAGCGAGGTGACTTGACGGGGACCACTTGCATCATTATCATGGCGGAGATATCCGAGCATGCACGTTGTAAAGCAAAACGCGTCCGGGGTGAGGTGGGGTAGCGTCAGGGTGTGTCGGAGCAACCGCCAGCATTCGGTCATGTTGTCTGCCAGCATGTGGGCTCGAATCACGGCGTTGTACAGGTTCATGTCTGCCATCGTGTCCCAAAAGTCGGCTCGTTCAGTTGTTTCAATCTGGACGAAGTGGACGGAACGTTAGTCAGAGCTGCACATGTGGCGACGATCTACCTTCTCGACAACTTGGCGCACCATGTCGTGCTCGCCGCACGCGCCGAGTGTTTTGATCAGGATTGTGTACGTTTGGACGTCCAGATCCAACGACGGCGAAGACAGCACTTGCCGCGCCACGTCCACGAGCATCTTGGGTTGGCGGCCGCTGGCCAAGGTCAGCAGGAGGAGGCGGTACCCTCGGAGCGGGATCGGGACGTGAAACTCCTGCATGTGTTGAAGCACAGTCAACGTGTGTTTCCAGTCGTTCTGTTGCTTGAACGCTTTGAGAAGTGGCCGGTAAAGCGTTGTCGATAGCGTTTTCTGGACACGGTCGTCCAGCGGAGTCGGCGCGAGCGATGACACCAGCGCATACGCTTTCGCGAGGGCATCATCGCCTTTGCCGTTTTCTGCCAGGGCAAGGCATATCAACGCCTGGGACTCAACGAACACCGTGGACGAGGGGTCGGTAGATGTCGGCGATGCGGCGGCGACTGGACTCTCGTCGGTTTCTTTCATGTGGCCCAGGGACTGGAGAATGTGGAGCACCTTCTTCGCCTCGCGGTGACGCCCCTGTGCTGCACAAGCTCGCAGGACAAAGTTTGCATGCTTGGGCTCAACCCACGTTGGGTGTGTTGTCGCAAAGTGCTGAAACGTCCCAAGGGCCTGCTTCCAGTCTGCGGCGTGCTCGGCGCGTTGCAGTTTGGCCTCGATGATGGCCAATGCAGCTGCGCTGGTGGGGGCCGCCGTCGAGCTCTCGAAGCGCACACTCGCGTTCCACGCACATCGAGACAAGAGAACCTGTTCGTCTCGTCAGGCGGCACTCTGCATGCATCGCAGGGCACGTACCGGCCGCCCTGCCCACGACACGGCGCGGCACAACATCGCCATGGCATTCACTGGATAACTTCAAAGGGATAACCTCTCTAATATCATATAAACTATTGTAGGTGCACATGCACAATTGCGATTTCCACACCAGTAAGACCACAGCGATGCTGCGGCTGCTGGCGCGGAGCAGCGCCGCCGGGCGACGACGTCTTGTTCGTGGAATCGTATGTCCGCACGAGGCAAACATCCTTTGGAAGCATCGCGCTGCATTGCAGCCTCTGTCTTGTCGGCTGGTGCATGCCACGGCACCAGTGTCACGAACAGATGCGATCGAGCTTGTCTACCAAAAGAAGTCGCCGCTCGAGCATGTCCTGCTACGGCCAGGCATGTACATTGGATCTGTGGAATCGACAAAGGAAACGATGTGGCTTTGGAACGACGAGGACAAGCGCATGGTCCAGCGCAGCAACGTTGAATACACCCCTGCTGTGTACAAGATCTTTGACGAAATCCTCGTCAACGCTGTCGACAACAAAGTGCGCGACGACACCATGTCCCGCATCGACGTGACGATCCACCCTGGATCGTCCTCGGAGCCGCCGCGAATCTCGATCTTCAACGACGGCAAAGGCATCCCCGTGCAATTCCACAAGCACGAGCAGGTTGGTAACCTACACCGTGTGGCATGTTTGATGCGAGAGTCTGACAGGCCATGGCCATGCCGCGTCTAGGTGTACGTGCCAGAGCTAGTGCTGGGCCATCTCCTCACGGGCTCCAACTTCAACGACTCGACGGCGCGACTCACGGGCGGCCGACACGGCTATGGCGCCAAGCTAACCAACATCTTCAGCACAGAATTCACGGTTGATACGGGCGACGCCCAGTCGGGTCTGCAGTACACGCAAACGTGGCGCCACAACATGCGCGAGCGCGAGGACCCTGTCGTGGTGCCTTACAAGGGCCCCAACTACACCCGCATCACGTTTGTTCCAGACCTGAAGCGGTTCCACCTCGATACGTTGTCGAGTGACATGCTCCAAGTTCTCCATAAGCGAGTGGTCGACGTGGCCGGGTGTCTATCCAATGTGTCGGTGTCGCTGAATGGCACCACCGTCCCCGTGTCCGGCTTTGAAGAGTACGTGCAAGCGTATGGATCGACCAGCTGCGCCGACGACGCACCCGACGGCAGCGCGCCAGACACGCTGTTCGCCAAAGTCAACCGACGGTGGGAAGTTGCTGTCATGCCGTCCGATTCGGGGTACTCCCACGTGAGCTTTGTCAACGGGATGACAACGACCCGTGGTGGGACCCACGTCCAGATCGTGCTGGACCAGCTCTGTCGCCGCATCGCTGACACGATAGCGGCGCGGCACCGCGACTTGCCGCCGCTGCAATCGTCTCAAATCAAACCGCACGTCCGAGTCTTTGTCAAAGCGCTGGTGGAAAATCCCACGTTTGATTCGCAAATGAAGGAGTGCCTCACGTCAAAACCCGAATTCTTTGGCTCGAACTGCGTTTTGACAGAGCGATTTCTCAAGCAAGTGGCGACCTGTGGCATTGTCGAGCGCGTCGTCGGCGCGCTCAAGACCAAACACCGCAACGCGCTGCTCAAGAAAGTTGCCAAAAAGTCCACGACGGTCCAAGTGCCCAAGCTCGAGGACGCCAACTGGGCGGGCACTGCCAAGTCGCCCAACTGCACGCTGATTCTAACCGAAGGGGACTCGGCCAAGGCGCTCGCCGTGGCCGGGCTGAGTGTCGTCGGCCGCGACACCTACGGTGTTTTTCCCCTGCGCGGCAAGTTCCTCAATGTCCGCGACGCCACTGACACGCAGCTGACCAAGAATGCCGAGTTCAGCCACCTGTGCACGATCTTAGGTCTCAAGCTCGGGCTTTCGTACGACACCCCTGCTGAGCGCGCGACATTGAGGTGCGTTCTACTTCGGCGGTGCTCGTCCATGCTGACTCGCACGGCAGGTACGGACACGTCATGCTCATGACGGACCAAGATCACGACGGGAGCCACATCAAAGGGCTCTTGCTCAACTTGTTTCACACGTTTTGGCCGGCACTGCTCGAGGCCAACTACGTAAGCGCGTTCTTGACACCGCTGCTCAAAGTCTATCCGTCGTCAACGAAGAAGAAGGCGCCGATTCCGTTTTTCAGCGTACCCGAGTACGACCAGTGGAAGGCGGCGAATCCGACGATCAAGCACAGCGTCAAGTACTACAAGGGGCTCGGCACGAGCACGTCAAAGGAAGGGAAGGAATATTTTCACGCATTGCACAATCACCGCGTCGAGTACACGTGGATCGACGACGGCGACGGCGACGCGCTTGCCATGGTGTTTAGCAAGGATCGCGTGGCCGATCGCAAGCAGTGGCTTCGCCAGTCCAACCCGGCGGACTTTGTGTTTGAACGGGTGGCCGAGATGCGTCTGCGGCAATTTGTCCATGCCGAGTTGATTCAGTACTCGCACGCGGACAACACCCGGTCCATCCCGAGCGTGATTGACGGCCTCAAGCCGTCGCAGCGCAAAGTGCTCTTTGCGTGCTTTCGCCGGCACCTGGTTGCAGAAATGAAAGTCGCCCAGCTCGCGGGTTACTGCGCCGAGCACACGGCGTATCACCACGGGGAAGCCTCCCTCCTATCCACGATCGTCAACATGGCGCAGGACTTTGTCGGGTCCAACAACGTCCCGCTCCTCGTCCCGTCCGGACAGTTTGGGACGCGGCTCCAAGGCGGCAAGGACGCCGCAAGTCCGCGGTATATCTTTACGTATTTGCAGCCGTATACGCGACTGATCTTTCCCGCGGCCGACGAGCCGCTCCTGGACTACGTCTACGACGACGGGGCGCCCGTCGAACCGGTGCACTATGTTCCCATCCTCCCCTTGTTGCTCGTGAATGGCGCCGACGGCATCGGGACAGGGTGGTCGACCAGTGTCCCAAGCCACCACCCGATTCAAGTAATTGACGCTCTGCTGGCGCGCCTGAGCGATTCCACCGCACCCCCCCTCGCGTGCGACCCGTGGGTAAAAGGATTTCGAGGGCACGTCATGAAAAAGGACAACGGATTTGTCACGGAAGGCGTCGTTGACGTCGTGCACGACACAAAGAAGGCATGGACGCTTCGGATCTCCGAACTCCCCGTCGGCAAGTGGACCGACGATTACAAAGCGTTCTTGTGGGGGCTCGTCGCGGCCAAGCGAGTCAGCACCTTCACCGAGCACCACACGGACCGCACCGTGCACTTTGAAGTCGTTGTGCCGGTACGAGCATGGCTGGTGCGGCCGCCGTGACTGTTGCTGTGTTGGCGTAGAAACCAGACATGCCGAGTGACTCTGGCGCCGACGCGACGGACTGGACGAAGTGGTTCAAGCTCGAAGGAAACGTGAACACAACCAACATGCACGCGTTCGACGCGGCCGGCGCGCTGCAAAAGTACGTGTCGAGCACCGACATCGTCGACGCGTTTTTCCCCGTGCGCCTGGCATTGTACGAGCGGCGAAAAGTCCATCTCGTCGACAAAACCGCGCGCGAACTGCGGCGCCTCGACAACCGCGCGCGATTCATGCAAGCGATGGTGTCTACAGAGAGTCCGCTGCGCGTGTTGTGGGGCGCGCGACCGTCGAAAGCCCAAGTGGTGCGTGTGCTGCGTCGACTCACGAATTCATGTCAACGTGCAGGTCGCGCTGCTGCGCGCCGAGGGATTCGATTCGAGTCATGCGATTTCGAACGACGGCGGCGCCGACTCCACCGACGAGTGCGACGACGGATTCGACTATTTGCTCAAGACGTCGTTCCTCCAGTTCACGGACGAAAACACATCAAAGTTGTTGGGGGAAGTCGAAGCCAAACGAATCGAGCTCGCCCGCCTCGATGCGACTTCGGCTGTCGAGATGTGGCGCGTCGAGCTAGAAGCCCTCAAGGCTGCGTTGCTCGCGGCGGACCCGCAGTACCAATCCGCGGCGACGACATAACTGTCCATGAAAAACAATATCATGGTGGTCAGCCCTTTGGCTTTGCTTGGGATGGAAGGACATGGGGGCGGATGGGGGCGAAAACTCGAGCGAGGTTTCGATCGTCGAGGTTGAGAAGGACCACACGACTGTCGGGACAAAGCTTCTCGCGCTAAGTTCGATGGATCAATTGGGGGGGACGTGCGGTGAGGCCGGCGATACCGCCGGCATCGAAGCCACAACACCACGACTCGATCCTTGTGGCTATCTGGGCGAGCGCAGTGGCGCACTGGACCGAACATGCTACCGTTTGTCCACGGGGCGACAAATGTATCGGGCGTTCGGTCTGGAATGGGTGGCTGGCACGTGGTCAAGCCTCGCCATGCTGGCCTCAGTTGACGACAGCAACGTTTACGTTGTACGGTGCACACCTTTTCCGAAATTTGCATACGACTGTAGTCGTACGAGGGGGGCATTGGTCGGCGGAATCGTGGCGAGATTCATTTTGGTGGCGGAAACCACGCGCACCCAGGCGCGTTTCGTGTCGTGGACAGGCAGGTGGAATCATGGCGACGACGGGTTTCTGCAACTTGCCCGCGCACATAAATCATCGAAACGGCGCTGGCCTTCCGGGCCACCAACGACTTGATTTGAACTAGCTTGGGACTCGGAGGCTACTACTGCCCTCCAACCGCACCTTTCCCGCTCGCTGTCTCACGGCCGGCATGACGACGTCGTGCGCCGACCAGGCGAGATGTGGCGCTCCTCACAGTTGCTCGCCGCGAGTTGCATGGCAAATTGTAAAATTGTCCTTGCGGGTGAGCTGCAAGCCCGCGGACGCCACGACAATGCATGTTGAGCCCAACAAAGGTTAAGTCACACATCGTAGACTTTCAAGAAATCAATGCATATTTCATTTGTTCAGCCGCATTCAAATTTCTCTTTTGTCTAGTTCAATATCCATCATGCATATTATTTTCAATATTGGATGGTGACACCAGAGATGTCGCAGGGTTGTCACAAGATATTTTCGCGACGTTCCGGAGACAGCGCGACGACGACGGTGAAACGACCGAGTTCGCCCGGCCGCAAACAGCCGGCTCTAAATACGAAAGCGCCCACATACTTTTCATGGCTGGTATACACAAGCCCTCGCCGCTCGGGGCGTCGCAGGCGGTCGTGGTTGGCACGTCGTTGGCATGCCACGACCAATGTGTGAAACAGCGGCTGCAGGAACCACCCTACTTGATGCCGTTCCATGCCGCGCATCCTGGCGACGCGGAGTACTCGGAGTACATGGCAGCGTGGCTCCATACGAACTCTACCATTCGTAGAGTGGACAACATCGTGTTATACGCTGTCGAAGTCAACTTGGGCAAAATGCGATGGACCATCCACCGGCGGTATTCGGAATTTCGAGAGTTGAGGCAAACCATGATCAAGCAAATGGCTAAGCGAACGAGCTGCTGCATTTGTGGCTCGACGCTCCAAAACGTGGAGGCCCTCCAGTTCCCTCCAAGGCGGCTAACCTTGTTCACCGCCCTGTCGTCCGCAGACCTGGACAAGCGGCAAACCATGCTTCAGCACTTTGTCTCGATGCTCGTCGGAATGGTTCAAGTGCTACGACAGCACCAAATGCTCACGGAGACGAGGGCCGGCCTGGCAAAGCGCAACCAGACCCATTACGACGTATCTGACGTCCTCCGCCATATCGAGACGTTTTTTGGACTCGACTTTTGCCGATACACCCATTTCTTGGCCGAGCGAGGCGTGCTGCAGCCGAACGAAGTGCTCTTGGCATGATACACATCTTGCTCCATAGACCGTGAAAGATGTAGAAGCACGAATATTTAACGTAACCTCAATCACACGATGGCATCTCGTTGCTGGGCACCCCGCCCCCCGACACTGCATTCACTCCGCGTTATTACATTGGAGCCCGCAACCAGGTCCGTTCAGCAAGACGCATATGAGGGCACCCCACCGTGCTCAGTATGCGTTGTGCCCTAGGCCATGATGCTCCTTTTCCCGGCGGACTATATCTGGTAGAGCGCATCCTTTCTCCTTGGGGCGAACGTTCATATCGTTGTGAGATCGAGCATGTTACGCAAAGTGTCCCTCGGTGGCGAGTGCAGGGCTTGAGTCGACACCACGTTTTTTGCAAGCGTCGTGGCGCGATTCGATGTACGGCTTTGGCGTCACTGCCGACGTCCGTGCCACCGTCTCCATTCGTCCTGGCAGATTCAGTTGCTTGTATGCATGCCACGTTCGCACTCCCCTGCCAATGTATCACTACTATAGGCCTCCTTCGTCATAACGATGGCGTTCACGATGGGCGAAGGTGAGTCACGTTGCATTCATGGATAGCATCTCTATCGATATCTCTAGTTCAGGCCGAGTACGTCGCTGGCCGCGGGTTGGAATGCGGCATCCCGTTCAAACATGGACTGGAGCATCTGGACGTCGTCCAATTCGCCGCGATACGTCTGGTAAAAGAGCATCTCGAACGCGTCCAGATGAGGCACGAGCATATACGGCACATGCGGCACGTTGAGTTTCTTGTACGGGTTGTGTTTGTTCCATTCGGCCGGAATTTGGGCCACGATGACCTTGATCAGCTTGGCGTTTGGCGCTGCATACTTCTGGAACGCGTACTCGACGACAGCTTCTCGGTACCGGCAGGAAGCGCACCACACGCGGTTGTTGTGGGGCCACGACCCTGACAGGAACAGCAAGTACGTCGGGGCTGTGTCTTCGAACAGCTTTGCCATCGTACGAAACGAGGCGTAGTCACGGATCGTGTCGACCGCTTTCTTCCTGACGCCGGTGGACCGCCCCTCCGTCAGTGCAAACTCGACGAGCGCTGCATTGCCGACCGACTTGCCTTCGAGCACAAAGCTCGTATTGGCGTACCCCTGGTTGTTCCGCTCGTACCGCATCAAGGATGGAATGTCGTGCAGGAAAATGTCAAAGTCAGTACGGAACGGCGACTTGTCGCCATCTTCTTGGGACGTGCCCACTTGGACCATGGCCAGTCGGTGCGGTGGCGAGATCGACTGGTACGCCGCAACGACAGCTGCGCTGGCGGCCGCGCACGTCGGCGACCACACTTGGCCCGTGTCCGGGGATGTTCCGCATGTAAACAGCAGAAAAATGGGACTGTCGAGCGTCTTCAAGAACGTTTGCGTCGCGTCAAAGGACGTCAGGATGACGAAGTCTGAATCGGACAACGTAGTTGCATGTGCCGAGGACAGGTTGAGGGTCGTCGTGGGACTTGACTGCAGCGATGCCATTGGGGAGGATGTGATGGAGGAGGATTTCGCGGTAGTTGGCGCCTGTGTGGTCAAAGGCCGTGTGCTGGTGTCCAATGCTGACGCAGTTTTAGCTGTGTGATGGTGAATGGTCGGAGCGTCTATGGTTGACCTTGGCGCCATGGTGGCTGTAATGTGGCTGGATGTAGACGCCATGTCGACATTTGCTGGTCGCCTCGGGGGCGACGTGCTGTCTGCTTGCTTGGCTGCGGTGGCTGCAGCGACTGATACGGAGCGGACATGGTGCTCGCCTGGAGCCGCGTCGCGGTTCCACTCCATTCGAGACAAACACCACACGTAGAACACAATCACAGACAACACACACAGAGACAGCAGCGTCACTAAGCTGAGCCGAACGCCAAAGCATTTGGGCCGCCTGCGGCCCAGTGGCGCCTGGTGGTGCCGCATGTCTTGCGATTATTTCGTTCGTTGTATCGAATGCTTATAGGGCCAGTATCATATTCATGCTTGATATTCCTTGATGTCCTGCACGCATACATAACTGCTGTTGATATTTTTGTTTACCAGAACATAGACACTATGGATGAGGAGACTCGCCAGCCGCAAAGGGGACACGACATTGCGGCATTCGTTGCTCTGCATGGTGCGGCCATGGGTGGAGGCACTTTTGCTGAGCGCAACGAGAAGAGGTCCTCGGGTAGGGGCTACGAGGGAATAGAATCTCGTCATACGCTTGCTGCACCGAACATTGCGAACAATGATGGAGTTATCCTGTCACAGACGACGACCCCCCCCTCGACCCCAAGCGCCAAACACGGCAAGGATGCACATCGGTTTCTTCCATTCAAACCGTCAGGCATATGCTGCCCCTTGGAAGAATGCGGTCAAGAGCGCGGTGTCCTCGAAAAATGCAGTGTACTCCTCAAACTCGAGCGCGGCGGTGTCGAGCCGTTGCGGCTTGGCTCGAATTAGCATGGGTAGGCCAGAAATCACGATGACTTGCTGCACTTTGAACGGATTGTCGTCCCGCCGCCAGTCCTGGAGGGACGCCGCTGTCACGACGCGAAGGAGGACAGCGTCTTGGGGCGCAAATCGATCGAAATACGCCATCACGGGCAGCTCGGCTTTGGCGCAGTAAGGGCACCAGAGCTCGCCAGTCGGTGTTGTGCCTGATACAAAGTACACGAAGAGGGGGTGCTTGGACCTCGACATCGTGTACTCGTCAAAGTACGTCGCCAGTGCTTCGACAGTGTCGACGTGCACCACGGTCGGTGGCGACGGTCGTGGAGTCAAGAGCGCGAGGAGCATGGCTTCGTCGGAGAGAAATGCGCGGCCCGTGAGGACGGTCGTGGTGTGGAGATCGCCGTCGTACCGCAGCAACGCAGGGACTTCGTTCACATGAAATACCGGTCCGACGCGAAACGGACTCGATGCGTTGGCCCATTCTTCGCGCGAACCAACGCCAACGACCGCATGCCGGACCCCCGTTGCGGCAAACGCCCGGGCCAAAGGCATCTTGGCTTGCTCGCAGTCGGAGCACCAGTACTGACCCGACGCGAGCATTCCGCTCATCAACAGGACAAAATACGGGTCGTCCGTTGAGACTTCAATCGTCGCGAGCAAGTCGAGCGCACTCGCATAATCCAGGGCACGAGGCTCAGTGGGGTCGCTGTCCTGGTTCTCTTGGGCACGGCGAAATCGAATCGATTGGAGCATGGAGATGGCCGAGTCGTGCTTGAGCGACGACGATAACTTGGACACAAACAACATGCTCGAGAGCAGCGCCAACGCCACGAGGAGCTGCAGGCTCACGAGCGAAAATCGCATCGTCCGGATCGGGTGAAAATGGAGGACGCCCCACGACAGACCAACGTTTCCAAATTCGAATAACATGGGTTTGCAACGAGCTGTCGTTGGGTACGTGCTCGCCCCAACAAGCCAAGGCGTCGATGCCACGTGCACAAGAATCGATGGCGGAGGGCTCGACGATGTCATGGTCGCAGGGGACGAGGCGTGGTGGGGTGTAGACTGGAGCGATGCCGTGGGGGCGGACGTGATGGGGAAGGATGTCGCGGTATTCCTTTGGTGATGGTGTGGTCAAAGGCCGCGTGCAGTGCCCGAGATATCTCATGTTTGACTCGTGGCAGGCGTAGTTCACCAACGTAGCACGGGGTGCGGATTCCCTTGTAGCGCGACAGTATTTCGTTTCAAGCTAGTCGTGCGACCCGTTGGCCATCTTTCCTTGAAAGGAAATCGCGATCGATGGAATCGACACCTGTCATGGTGTCGACAAGCGGCAAGAATACGGACAAATTCATGTTAGCACGGGGCCACACGCAATGCTTGCACTGCTGCACGTCGTCCACTCACGTAATGCTAGCGTTTTTTGGGGATGGAGACGCGACAAAGTGGACGCGCCCAAAGCACGGGGTTTCGTGGAAGTTGTACTGGTTGGGCGCGTTCCAAGCACCACAATGCTGGTTTGGAAAGATCGTGGTGTTGGTGATTTTTCGCATGAAGTTCATGCGCCACAGTGTGCCTTGAGGTGCTGTCACGTCAAACAAACCGAGCGGCAATTCAGCCACCGACACCCACGTGTGGGTAGCGCGATCCGTCTCGGTGACGACTTGGATGCCCAGAGCTCGGGCTTCTGCTTCGTCGCCACCGACGTAGAAATGCCCCACGGGCGGGCTAAAGTCCTTGCGCGGGTTCAAAATATACGCGCTGTAAGTTTGGTTGGTCGGCGACACTTCGAACTCAAAGTACTCGACCGGATCGTCCGTGCCGAGGGCGATGAACGCTTCGAACACGTTGTACTCCCAAATGTTGTCGTTGTGGCCGTACGAAGGATTTGTGAGAAAACTCATCTCTTCGTGGGTCGAGAATGCAATGTGAAATGTCGTGTTTGTGTAGCACAAGTCGGCTTGAGTCGCGGGGAACGGAATGCTGCGGTCTGCCAGCGATTGAGCAATGTCGATGGTGGTGACGACCGGACACTCAAATACTTGAATCGACGGCACGGGAAAGCACCCCAGCGCGTTGTCGTCCACACTGCGAGAAGCGAATTGTTGTGGCACTGCCTCGCCGTGGCTCACGTTGGGCGTGACGCCCTTGACAACGGACGAAATCCCGAGGACGATGCTTGACAAACTCACACAGCCTACTGTGAGCCACAGGAGTGCAAGGGACCGTGGCAACTGACGCTTGGGCACAAGAGGAGATGTCTCTACCCCGTCATGCTGCATGGACGGCTGCTGCAGCAACGTGATCGCACCATACATCTCTTGACGTGGCGGCCGCGATCTTGTGGCACCAACGTCGTGCGGATAGGAAACGCGTTAACGAAGATTTTTTGCTGTTTTTTATTTGTTGGAAAGGTGCAATCTAGCCAATCAAATGGCGCTATGTTGAATGCTTTGACGTTTCAAACAGGTACTATCAAGAAATACCAGACGTTACTAGTATGATCCCTTTAGTGCCCTTTACAATGAATTGAGGTATTAAACTGATTTTTACATCCATGTCGTGGTCTCGGAAACCAATCACAATATTCCCCACATCAGCAGCAGGACCTGCGCGGACATGTCGATGAACAAGCTGCAGATGCAGCTTAAGAAGAAGGAGAAGGAAAGGAAGGCTGCAGCCAAGAAAGGAACAGCAGTCTCGAGTGAGTCCAAGGCGAAGGCTGCCGCCGACGCCCAAGCATTCATGTGCAAAATCTGCCGCCAGCCATTCGCAAGCACGAGCAAGGGTCCGCAAATGATTGCTCACGCCGAATCCAAGCACCCCCGCGTATCTCCAGAAGAGTGCTTTCCACAACTGCAGGAGATTGGTAAAGGTTAGCGAGATCGCCGGGCATCTCTCGCACGTGCCTTCATTCGACCACTGCGCGAATTCCCGCGGCAGCACGTGCACAAGGAATCGATCGCATGCTGAAACACCAACGGGCTTCGTCATACCCATATACGTTTTCCTTGCAGGGCTGTATTTGCCTGAACGCTCGGTCGTGCACTCGATGCACCGAGGTCTACACATCCACCTCGTCAGCGTCCTTCGACTTTGGCTGGAATTCGTTCGACCCTAGGCGGATGTTAAAGCATCGTCGACGTGCCAGTCTAGAACAAGCCAATCTGCTATGGTACTGGACGCACTCACCGATAGATCTCGCGTCGCCGACGTGAAAAACGACTTCCCAAGCAATCTACACTCAGCCAGCACGCATGGGACGACCTGGCTCATTCAGGAAGGCGGGTTTCGTGGTGTCCGCTATCACCGTTTACATGTTTTGCTACCTGACACAACCGCAACAGCCAACGGCTCAACATGGGATGGGTTTGTCTGCACACACAGCTCTGCTTGCCATGACACTAGTAGTTTGTTCCGGTGGTCCCACGGCGCCATTGAATCGAGCACACGTCGACGACAGTTCCAACAAGTCAACAGGTTAGCACTGGTTGCGCAGGAATCCATCGATGGCGCTTTCAATGCGCTCATGGGCCCACACCACGTGGCCGCTGCGCGAAAACATGGCGCGGCAATGCGACGTGCCTTGGATGTCGACAACCTCCGACTTGGAGTTGACGACGCCCGTCTTGTTGTTCAAGGCCAAACCGTCCCACGGATCGATCGTCCCCGTCGGGAAGATGACGTTGTCGACGTTGATTTCCATCCGCCGGACGTCTATTAGTTGCCGCAGCACGGGCATCGTTGTCGGTGATGTTAAACACAGCCGCGCACAGTTTGTGCTGGACGACTGGGACGGTGCCGTACATGAGCAAACGCGCCGTGGTCTGGCCCGAATTCCGCACACGTTTGGAGAACCAAGCGCGTGCCCGCGCGTCGGAGCCGATCGTGACAATGCTATAGGACTGAATGTTGCCTTACAAGTCACTGTACGAGCACGTGTCGCCGCCCGTGGTGCCCACGAACTGGGACAGCGTCTCGACGGGGGTGACCGAAAACGCCGCGATTTTGTTGCAGATTCGCGTCAAGTCGGTCGTGCCGTCCGCCGCATATTGTGCCGCGCCTTGGAACGCGCCAAACACTTGCGTTTCAAACACACTCCGGTCGTCGTCGTTCGTGAAAGGAGTGCACGGGTTATATAGTGCCTTCAGTGTGGCGGCGTCATCGGCCTGGTCGCTGGCCACCAACCTGTCGAGTTCCGTCGTACCAGCTTGGATCGTGTCGATCGACGCACTTGTCACCGCCACAGTACCGAAGCCCTTGGCTCACAATGTCGCTGTACTCGAAAAAGTCATCCTTGGTGTGGATCGGAGCCGAGGTCCCGCGAACCGCGACAGGCACTTGAGCTTGAGCCAGGTTGCCAACATGCCGGGGTAGCTCCCACCAAACGCGACCCACTTGCTCTTGGTCAAGTTTTGCTTGGCCGCGAAGTAGTCTTGGAATCGCACCAAGTCGGCCAACGCTTGGTCTGCGCAAGGTACTGGAGGCCGGCCGTGCTGAGGTCCGGGAACGGTTGGGATTTGCCGTCGATGCTCCAACGACACGACCATCGCCTTGTGCTTCTTGGCCAGCTCGTTTATGAAGAGCCCAGACGACGCCACCGATCGCGGCGACGCCTCGCCTTCGATGTACAAGAAATCGGGGGAGCCCGCGCCGCCGTAGAATTGGTCGCTGAAGAATTGGTACGGTTGTTACCACACCTTGGTATTGGACGCGTTAGTGTGGTCGAGTGTTTGATAATACCAGTTCTCAACAGGGTCCGCCATTGCCGCTTCCATCGACGCGATTTCGAACTCGTGCAGTTTGTCCGTGATGCGGAAGCGATAATGCAGGATGGCCGGGGCGGCGTTAGCGATCACGGGACACGCCAGGGCGGCAAGGACGCGGACCATAGTCAGGGGGAGACCTCGCGTGGAAATATGAATTGTGATGCACAGCCACATCGCACGACGGACCAGGATGTAAATTTCATAATGCCACACCCCGTGCCACAGCTGGCTCGGCGATGTTTCGGGGTGGCATGTCGTAATGAACGGCGACCACTCGGACTTAACATCGTGGTTACCTCGTCCTGCTGCACCTAGGTCCTTCTCCCACATCCATTGTCGAAAATGCATCTATGTGCTCCAACTCATGGGTGAGAAAGGCCAAGGGCCAACAGGTTTGCGAAATCGTCGAGCCGACGAAATGCAGAGAGCGCGGTGTCAAATCTTCGACAGAGCAAGTCGCCCTCCGTCGATGGCGAGGTTGGTTGTATGCGATCTGCGACAACACTCACACTGGCAGCGCGCAAAATGAATCTGTGGGACGACAGCCCGACTGGTGGGCAACTGCATTCCAAGAACAATGGAGGGCTACCGACTCATGAATATGTGACTACCACGTCCGAAAGAAGCTGCCCTCTTCGAGGCAGCTCAAGTCTTTCCTTTCTGAACCGTCGTCAAGAGCCCTCTCGCTGAATGGCTCGCAGGTCGATCAAAGTATGGAGTCTTGGCTTGGCAAATATCGATTTTGAGTCAACTGCCTCGATCCCTTCTATCCCTCTACGGACGATGATGGCCAAGCTTTACACAAAATCAGGGGCCGTCGCACGGGGCATTTTGTCGCCATCCCACGTCTGCCCCCTTCACTTTCGAGCGCATCCCCCGTTGGGCATTCCTATGGCAACCAGCCGTCGCTTGGATTGAATGGCGCATTCGATCACCACAGCATGGTGTTCGCATGGTCCGATGTAGTTGCGTGAATCATCCCAATGCAAACTGTGGGGGGTGAGGGCGTTCACACCGATACTGTGGGCGATGGCAATCCGCGGTGGTAGCAGTGTTCCGTTGGAGCGCTCCATGCTCTGCCCATCCATCGTTTGGAAATCTCCTAACGGGGGTTTCGATGGTCAGGACGTCGGCAACTCTCACGAAAACAACGCAACTGCCCGAGCACGTCCTGATTGCGGCCTGCTGTGCATGGAGCGCTCTCGACTTCTGTCCCTCGCCCTTCCATTCCCTGTCTGTCGTGCCATCGGCATAGCAGGGACACGACGACTACAAAACGTATTCATTTCGTTCCATGCCGTCGATCACGCATGCCCCACTTCAATCGATCTTTTCCTTGACAGTCGGGATGTGGATGATGTTGGGACCGGTCACTTTGAGCATGGTCTCGGGGGACCGCAGCACACGTATCAACGTCTCAAAGAGGCGCGCTTCGTCCTATTCACGTTGCCCCTGTCAGGTCCATCTCCTGGGAACGATAGACCGACTTTCAAGTGGCCAATGTACTCTTCCTTCCGGGCAATGTAGATTCCCTACGCAACCACCCGTCACCGGATCCAGCCACGGCAACCGATGGAACCAACCTCGACCAAGTCCATCAAGTCGTCTGGGTTGGGCAATTCCTGGTACAACACGTCGTTGACGGACCCGCGCAACGCGTTCTTGACGTAGCCCCCGATGGTAAAGATGACCTGGAGGCACATCACCGCACAGCGTGAGCGACGGTTCGAGTGGACGGCTCGTCGTGTTGCAGGCGTACAAAGACATAGGTGGCCGTGAGGCCGTACGTGCCAATCCCCAATGTCTTCAACCCCGCCACGATGTTGTCCGACACGATGACGAAGCAGAGCCCCTGCACTTCGCACGCAATCGTGGTCGAGTTGTCCACAAGCCTAGCACGACAACATTGGTTGTAGGCCACTCCTGCATCCATATTCGGTGTTTGAGAGGCGCGCCTCGGACATACCCCGTACTGTTTGCATACGCTATGGAATCGGCGGACGACAGCGTCCAGAAACTCCCGCTCACTTCTGTGGACCGCTGGATCTGTCGCACAGGCTCATGGTGATCCGACATGCTGGACGAAGGCACCTGAATCGCGCGGGGGATGTACGGTGCCCGAGCCGTTGGCGAGTTGGCCGCTGGGACATTCAACACGGGTGGGTACATGGCGGGAATGATCAGGACTTCTGAATTGAGGCTGTTGGAAGTGATTTCGTCCGGCAGGGACACGTCCATCATCCGCATGAGCTTCGTGCGTTGCTTGGGTGTTATGGGGGACACGACATCGTACGTCACCTAACATCATGACAGGGCCAACGTGAAGACCACTTGCCCCTTCGTAAGCGTACCAATTGTTGGCCCTCGGGGGCCGCCCGCATGAATGCAATCGTCATCCGCCACTGAATCCCTTCCGTCGAGTTTAGTCGCGCCATGAGGCGGCGGCGAGCTGCTCCACATGTCGTTGGAAAACTCCATGAACGACACTTGCTGGACGTAGGTCTCGACGTTGGCGACGACGACTTTTTGCGTCGCTGGACTCTCGTTCTCCTCTGGCAACCAACCCATCCATCGACATCGTCAACTTGGCGTGATGGGATGGCGCATACCGCTATTGTAGAACTGCTGGAACGTCCCGTCGGGCTGAAGGAGCCCAAACGTGATGGTCGCGTGCTGCACGGGGTTGCGGATCGTCGTGGGGTTGGCCGTGCGAAACATGACCATCGGCGCCAGGAGACACACGACGAGAGCTACAAAGTAGACGCCGGCCGATTTGAATTTGGCTTGCCACGGTTGCCGCTGGTTTCCCTGCAATGGCACGCACGGTCACAGCCACGTGATACGTGTGTCCATCGCACCTGCAACGTGAAACCATCTTGGACGCGGCCTTCCATCTGGAGCTTGACAAGAAATAAGTGGGCACCAATGCCTTCCAGGACAAGCCACAACTGCATGTCAAGCGCCGTCGTCGAACAAAGATAGTCCAGGAGGGTGCGAATTTCAAACGCAAACGGGATCGCCATGTAAACGCTAAACAGAGTCTTGGACAGCTTGGTCGCGTGGCGGAGGCTAAACGGATTCCCGCGAAACACGACGTAGCCGTGCTTGAGTTGGGCGGCACTGACCCCCATCGCGGCGCACTGGAGCAGGTACAGCACGACCAAGGACGGGCTCGCGTGAAAGTACACCCCCGTGTGCAACGGCAACACGAGCCACACGACAACGTGGACGCCCACGAGCATAAAGTAGTGGCACCACAACTTGGACTCCAACGAGCTGTACACGTACGACACGCGGTCCCATAGCACCAGTATCACGTGGAAGAAGACGAGGCCGACCATGTACCCAGACAAGAGCGATGTTTCAAACGTCGACGTGATTGAAAACAGCGCGGTCATTTCGACCGCGTTGCCAAACTTTTGAAAGAACAGCACGGTGTACGCCAAGATGACGACGTGGAGCGCAAACGATGGCAAAACGTAGTCTCGACCGGGCTTGGCGCCCGCCACGGCACACTTGATGTCTCGGTCCCAATGGACCGGCGGCCGTGGCAGTAGCGCGCCGTAATACTCCACCATCCAACTGGGCATCTACCGTCCGAAGTGAATCCATGGAGGCGCCAATATCGTTTTTGCAACGCACATGCTTCGAGAGCCACGATTGAAAGCGGCTCTTCTTTCCGAGTTCCTGCTGCTGGTCACGGGGGAACAGAGGCGACGCCAGCGCAACGTCGTGTTGGCGACCAATCTCACCGCTGTCCATTGCGCTCAAATGCTTGCCTTTGTCTGTGGGTTTAGCCGACACCGTGACAATTTGAGGAGTCGCTTCGTCGTCACTGGTGTCATCGCTGTCGTCGTCGTGGTCAAAGGAAGGAGCCATGGGGTTCAAAACCACCGGCGGTAGTGGCGATTCGTTCTCGAGAAGTCGTTCGAGGTGGCACGTCAAGTCCATGGACGCCTTCTGCGCGGTGTGGCGCGATGGAGGCGGGTTGGCGGTGTTGGAGTCGCTTCTACTTTTGCTTGCTTTCGGCTCATTGTTTTTCTTGGCCAGGTAGTCGGCCAGCTCAAAGTCACGTTCGTCAAGCGAGTCCTTGGAGTCGAGGCGCGACATGCGGTCCGCATGCTCGACGTCGTCAACTTGCTGGACGTCGGGAATGACCACCGGGTTTTGTTGCAGCGCATCCCCTCCCATGTCGTCGAATTGAAACGATCGCCGCGACTGAAACAGTCGCTTCCACAGCGCCGTCCGCGTCCACTGGAGCGCTTCGTTGCCTGGATAGACCCAAAACCCGCGAGCTTGGAGTTCTCGCCGATGAAACAAGATGGAGCAAATCACGACAAAGTTCCACTGGAGTCCCTGGAAAGTCGAGTTGACATCACCATTGGCGGACCCGTCAAACTTGTACAAGCCCAGCAGCACGATGGGTTGGACTCTGGCGGTTGTCGTGGCATTCAGTAGGGTCACCGGACAGAACGGCTGGAAGCTACGGCGCCGCCCGTGTCAGGCCAACCGATGGCTACAAAGGGCCAAACCTGGGATACAAGGTGTGGTGGACTGTGTAATGATGACAAAAGAACGGCAGCTGAAACATGTACCGCACAAGCACCACGGCAAACGACTAGCAGCATCGCAGGCGGTCATGGACCTCACACGGACGGAAGAGGGCTACGTACGTATTTCAAGACCCATTTCCAAAGGGCGGCGCGCGGACGAGGGTTCTCGCACAACAGGACCCCAAACAGAACGGCCACATACACCACATTGAGCGCGTCACCCTGCATCACCATCACGATCCACGTCGTCGACACTAGGCCAGATTGGAAACGTACTTGGCGCGAAAATGCCGCGACAAATGCCGCGTAGCACAGTTTGGCGCTATGGCTGCGAATGGCGTGCGTGACGACGACTCGGAATTCCGTCCACGAAGGCAATTCGTCCGACTCGATGTCGTCTGGGCATGCAATGCTCTCTCCCTGCAGCGCGCTGTCTTGCAAGGACTAAGCACCACATTCGTTCATCCATCCCACCGCACACGGCAAGCTCGACGTACCCAAAAGAGGCGATAAGCATTCGCGTAGATTGCACGCTGCGTGACTGGGTCGATCCACCGTGACAGTTTGGCGGAAGGGAATGTCCGCGGCGCCGCCGCCACCTTGTCCGTACCGACCTTGGCGCTGCTTTCATCCAGGCACGTGCTCGGGGCCAGAATCGCCTGCATGATCCGCTCGGGAAAAGCCAAGTTTTGAGCTTGTCGGTAGGCGAGCAACCGGGCCCCCAACGATTGTGGCGGCACAACAAACATCAGCGCGACGATCCACCGGTCAAACTGCGCGGCGTTTTCTGGTTGAAAGGAAAAATGAATGCTGTCCGGCCCCTTGGCATGCGCAATCGTCAGCTCCATGCAGTACAAAAGCGGTGACATTTCATCAAGCCGGAGCTGATGTTCGGACAAGTCTAGCCGCGTCACGTGGGACAGCAAGTACGACGGATACTGCTTCGTGCCAGCCGCTCCAGTGGCTTTGTTTGGGTGGCGAGGCGGCAGCCCCGGCCTACGCTTCACCCGCGCCTTGTCCGCGCCGCGGCGATGTTTAATCGCAAGCACTTCACTCTTGTAGAACGTGATCGACATTGCATCCACGATAACGTAGCGCTACACCAAGCCGACGAATTGACCTCGCGACGCCAAATGAGCGACTCGACCAACCTGGCTGTATGTTGTCGGGACTGCCCAAGGCATGAACAACTTGGCGTAATGCATCCAGTTGCTCTTGTGATCGATCGTTCGGTGCGCTTTCAACCACCCTGCAGTGCACGCATCCCCCCAGTCCAATTCAACGGTCGCTAGAGCATGGCTTTACACCATGCCGAGGCCGTGCATTGCGTTACCTGCAGGTTCGCTGGCCACACTGAACGGCCCTTCGCCCATGCGAGACACGGCAGCGACCTTGAACTGATAGCTCGTTCCAGGCCGAAGGCCGTGGATTTCGGCCATCGTTTGGCTGGCTGGGACGCTCACAACGTCACCAAAGTCCCCCAAGAGCGTCATGGACGGACATGTTTGCCGCGAGATGCGGTACCCTCGGATTTTATGAATCTTGGACTCGGGTGCGTCCCACGACAGGGTGATGGAATTTTGCGTCGTGGACACGACCCTCGGGCGGTGGGGGGCCATTGGGGGCAGCGAGTAGTGCAGCCTACGGCCAACAAGTACAGGATCAATGTGTGGCTGGGCGCGAGCGACCGTACCCCATAGCAATGTCCATCATTTCTTCGACCTTGTTGACCAACTTAGACACGATCGCTTTAAGCCGCTGGATCGCAGCTTGCTTTTCAAGCTTAAGATGACGCCACTGCTGGATGCGGACTTTGGCCAAGTGGTCGTTCATGGCATACCCGCGCTTGAGACATCGCTCTTGGTCGCGGCGGTGGCTCTACGCGCGGTTCAATTCAACGGCACACCATCACATGTGTACCTCCAGGACGAGTCGATATGGGGCCGATGCAAATACTTGCATTTGAATCGCAATCATGACGAAAATCGCGATGGAAAGCATGGTCGAAGTCGATGGAGTAGCAGAGCCGATGGTCGCCGTGTCGAGCGACCGGGGGGCCTTGTACAGGCCTAGAGCAACTGGCACGGACAAACAGATTCCGTCGCCAAGAGGTTGGTTGGTCCCGAGCGTGCATGTCTGCGTGATATCGTTGAACAAAGGGCACTGGTACACGACGAGAAGGAGGAGGTAGAACCAGTTGTACGCTTGCAACGACTCGAGCAAGATGGGCTGCCAGTCCAACCGGTCCAGGTGAAAAAGCATGTAGATGGACCAGCCAAGGTACAGGCCGGACGCGACGCCGAACTGGGCGCACCCCGTGATAAACACCCCCACCAACACGACCGAGATCGAGTAATTGGCCACAAATACTTGGAGCGACAAGGGTGGCGTCGTCGGTGCAAGTGCAGGTGCAATTGTCACGTCTGCATGGCCAGCTGGATCCACGGGGAGTGTGGCATCACATGTGGCTGCTCCAGCGGAAGCTGGTGCGGCTGGCGGCGGCGGGATCAAGTGCAGAGCGAATAACGAGGTAAAGTCTGCCACGAGGGACCACTTGTTTTGGAAAGACAGCATGAGCCAAGCTTGGTACGGCGTGTCGAGCCAAGTCCACGGCGGCAGCTTCGCCGATGGGACCACCAGCCACGCCGGAAACCACAACAGCAGGAGGTACTGGACGATCGAAACCCCGACAAGTACCCCCGTCAAGACACGAACGTACGTCTGGTGCACCTTGGGCTCGTTCCAGTCGGTCAGCATCACGCATCGCACGACGACCATGTACACAATGGACACGGCGTTGAGATGGACGAAGCACGATACGAGGAGAGCAAGCATGAGCAACGTGACGCTGGTGTCGCGAGTGAAGAGCGGAACGACGTGGTTTGCATACATAAGCTCGAGCCATGTTGGACTGCAGTTCGGTGGGAATGTCGGCTCGAAGAGGGCCCCGACGCGCTGTAGCGCACAGAGCCCAATCATCAATAGAGGCACGCAGCTTGTTGTCCATAAAGTCACGGAGTCATCTGGCGGAGGCAACCGCAGCCACTGCCGAGTCTCGGTTGTGTTGGCGGTGTCGAACCAGACCAAGTTGAGCTGAAGGACGTACGTCCCGAGCAAGACCACACAGGACGCCGTGAATAAATACGGCCACGCTGCCATGAATTTGCGATTGAGGACGGCGTAGATGGCACTGAGGTAGTACAGAAACCCCATCAAGTTGATCGTGTCGGTCGCTAAGAGCATCGCGAGGGCGACAATCGCGACAGAGCTCCGCGACATGGCGCGACACAACCACACCCATTCCTTTTGAAATTGCACCGGCATCGTGATGGGGACCACGGGCTGGTTCATGCTGGCGATCTGCCACGCCGCCAACCCCGCCATCTAGAAGAACAGCGCCCCGTTAGTAGCTAGCTACAAACGGCTTTCCGTCGTACGAGAACGGTGGGAAACAAGTAACCAAACAAGTTGGACAAATGCGTTGTCGACGACAGCGATTCAAACCCGACGTCATCCATCGTGCAGAACGGGGGCAGCCAGTGCGTCAAGATCGCGTTCGAGACCGGCGCAAACTGGTACAAGTATCGCAACACGACCACAAGAAGCTGCACGACAAGCACAACGCGCCACAACTTTCGATAATGCGCCGTCCCGCGTGGAAAGAGCCACAGGTTGGTCACGTGCGAATCAACGAGCGCTAGGAACAGCACCAGCTGGACGAGCCCGACGATCGTCACGTGGCCGCCCCGACGTACCTCCCACGTAAACGCTTGTGCGAGAAGGACGACGTAGCAAACGACGACGCCTCCGACGCGAAACACGCGGTCGATCTCGGTCGTGCACCGCGAGACAAAGTAAATGGGGAGCCGCGTTGTGTCTGGCGCGCAGGTGTGCCATTTTCGCGTGTAAATGACGAGCTGCAGGACGACTTGCGCGATCAGAATGAGCTGGGCATTGAAGAGCGGGGCCCCCCACAGTGTCGTCAAGGTGGCTCTGGTTGTCGAAGCGGGTTGTGGCGTAGCATTGCCGTTCGGCAAGGCTGCATTGTTGTCGGCGAGCTGCATCTTAAACCCGCCGAGAGTACCAATGTCGAGAACGGCACCAGATGTGGTCTGTGGGGCGGTCGACGCGGACCGAACAGCCCTCGAGGGTGGCGTCGATACAGGCGTTGTGGTTGCATTGGGCGCGACGAAGTTCCCCGGTATCGCTGTCGTCCCTGCCTCCGGGGCGTTGACTGCCGCCACGGTTGGGGCAGATGTCGGAGGTGCCGTTGCCGTGTCGACGTTTCGATAGCACGTCAGCCCCACGAGCTCATGTAGTGCTGTCGAGGACGGGCACGAAATGTTCCAAGTGTACAGCGTCAGGCACACGGCCAGCGTGTAGACCAGCAGCACGCGCCAGAGGCGCCGTCGGTGGTGGTGGAATAGCGCCAGATACGTGGCAAGAACGAGCGATCCCGTTTGAAACAAGTTGACCGATGTGCTGAGAACAACGACTAGTAGCATGCCAACCGATTCAGGCTCGAGAACGCAGCGTTGGGATGATGGCTCACCGTAGATTGTAAAAAGCACCATCGAGTCAACGTGGCGTAGGAAGGCGCCCTTGGCATCCACGCACCACAATTGCATGACGTGGTAGTACGCATTCCACTAGCAGCATGGACTCAGTGCTGATGTACAGGGCGACTGCCTACCGTGTCGTTGAGAAAGGTGAGGCGATGGGGCGATGGGGGTTCGGCGGGTGTGGGGGCACTTGCGTCGCCGACAGGTCGGGCGTATCGAACGCGCGCTCGTTGGCACAAGCACAAAGACACAAGAACGGCATTTTGAATGGCCAAGTCGACGTGAGTGTGTCCGTCCAAAGCCAGGTCGGGCGTTGATACGACAGGTTGCAGCGCAGGCATCATCAGAGTGTACTGCACCAGCCCTGTGCACACCGCGTAGAGTGTCGTGAGCGACAGCACGATCGGCTGAAGCGTAGCGAGGCGCTGAGTTTTCAACCCGTGGGTCGCTAGAGTCAAAAGCGACAGAGCAAACAGCCCCAAACTCGCGTACGACGGATACGAGATGGCCCAAAACATGCCAAGACATGCAGCGATCAACTCATTTCGCAGCACACGCATCACGACCGGCGCTTGAAAATGGCGACTCGGCGGGTCCACCCGGAGCGGCAAGACTTCGTACGACGCGTAGAACGACCGCATCTTCGCAAGAGAGACGTAGAGTCCGACAATGGCAGTAAGAAAGATGTAGTCGAGCCAGTTGTCAGCGACCGTCTAGTAGACTCTTTTCGTGAGGACACATGGGCGAAGTAGTTGCCGTACCCCTGGCAGCACAAACGCCCCAGTGTACTTGCCAATGACGCGGACCGCGCTATGCTTGTGCAGGACTGGGTACTGATACACGTGGCTAGGCACAACAAGGAAGGCGTGACCAAGGCCATGTGAGGGATGGGGTGCAGACTTACAGGAAGATGAGCACGCTGAACGTGTATACGAGTAGCCCTCGGACGATGAGCTTGTTCACTAACGGGTGTGGGGGCGGTGGCACGTAGCATGGAACATTATTCTGCGCCATCGCTGCATGCGACTCTTGGTCCGTGGTCATCCGAGCTTCTATGGGACTACCGTCGCTCGTTGAACGTAGTTGGGGTTCCGTCGCTGGCCGTGCAACCATCATGATTGCCGCTTCGTTGACGAAGCCGTCTTGGTTGGACGCGGCCGACGCCGCGGTTTCCTTAAGCATCGGCGGCGACTGCACAACCTCCACGGGACGGCCAGGCGTGGGGAGTTGTGTGTTTTGGTGATGCAATATGTGGTGTCGTGGCAGCCAGAACGACCAAATGGCCAGTCGACCTGTGAGCAGAAAGTAGTAAAGAGCGCCAAACGTACTCCGGGACGACAGCGCCGCGATAAACAGACACATGACAATGAGGAGTTCGGCGACGAATGCAAAGAGGCCATGGATGGTCTCGTGGAGCTTGAGCTTGAGGACCCACGTGTGCAGGATTGGCAGCGTTTGAAAGATAAAAGCCAGTGTGCGCACCCCCGACACCTCACGCCGCAACGGATGTCGCCTAGGAGATTCGACTCCAGTTTAATTCAATCTTCACGTGTCGAAGATACAGCGGAGCGTACGTGTGCGTGTTGGCGCCTTGTCGGTGCACGAACAACAACAATGCGGACATGACCATCACGATGGCATCCAACGAAACGTTGTACGGAGTGACTTGGAGCCCAGCAAGTAGGATCCAGTCGTTCGACCCGAGGGTGGGCCATCCTGCCACAACACATTGTCCGGCGACTCCACCCAACGACACGAGTCCCATCGCGATCCAAATCCATCGCACCGAGAACGTGAAGATGATGCCGGCGAGAAATGCCGCCAAGTAGCAGGTCGTGACGACTCCGCTCGTACGACTGACGGTGGTGATAAGTAAGAGAATTCCGAAGGTGCGAGGGAGGTGCCACTTGAGGTCGAGGCGGCGCAATTGGCCCCGGACAAATTGGATGCCGCCCGCTGTCATCGCCAATTGCGATGCAAGGCTCCTGGAGTTGCCGTTACGAGGAAAGATATGAAGGTTCACCATTGGCCATGGCGGAATGTAAATGGCAAACTGTTTCAAGACTATGGCCAGGTATGACCGCTGAAGAAACAGCGGTGCTGCGGGATGCTGCCCTCGTGCATCGCTCCATGCAGGTCAGCAGTAAGCCGATCATAAGGTACACAGCGCGCGCTATAGCTTGGACATGTCCTGAGAGGCATGCTGCCACCAGTGAGCTCGTCCGCGAGATCACAACATTCACTGCCTCATGTCGTAACTGCAGATAGACTTGCCGTGCAGCGTGGCCGCGGCCGAGAAGCGCTGACGAGAGACCATATTTAGCTGACATTTTCGTGGGTGCAAACAACTCTGGGAGGTTTACGGTCCTTCCCCCGTCTACGATGGGTGAAATACCGTCTTCCATCTACCGTCAACGTATTGTAGCCCAAACTTTCTCGTACTTCGTCGTCAGGGCTTGATGGTTACCTCGGCCTTGTTGCCCAAACGTCTACTCGCAGATGTGTAAATTGTTTGTCTTGTTATCCCTAACGTCGGTGGAATTGCTGGTGGGCTGACCAACGTGTCCATTGCCCTCGAAAATATACTCTGCCATTGGCTTCATCACTGCGAGAATCCCGTGATTGGAATGGTGGAGAGAACCCACCACGAGTCCGTTTGAAAGCTTGGTTGCTGGTTTTGTCCCCTCGGCTGGTGCACGCGGCTGGAACGTTTCCACACGTCGGGCAACACATTTCGCATTGTAGCTGTGGACCCCAAATCCGGCCAAAGGTTGTACGTGGCAGCCAAGACGTATGGCCTGCCGCCTGGCCACCTGTCAAGGTGCATGAAGAACATCTTGCAGCTTATGAAGTCGGCAGCCCAGCAGTGCGACGACGAATCGCGGCCGCAGCGTTCGACAGCCAGACGTCGTGGCAGATGTTATGGTGTACGACGACATGCTGTGTGAAGGGGTGTAACGACTCCGGTACTGTTGCAGAGGAAAACTGGATCCGGATAGAAAGCCGGATAGCGCGGTGGAGAGGAGACTTTGGAAGTTGGAGGCAAAATGCAGAATGAGATTATGATCGAGTTATGGGCTCCTAAAACTCCACATCCGTCGTGTCTTTACGTTTCTTGAAGGAGTCCCATCCACGTCCGTCTTGTACTTGGGCTATGCATTGGGTATACAATAACGCAGTGATGTCAATTCT